TTGTCACTACTACATTTCGCATGAGTAAACCTTCTTTGTGAACCACACGTGTCACGAGAGTTTCTCTGTCGAACGGGGCAAATCTCACATTCTTCACATCTTGATGGTGGTTGAGATGCAGTTGGTTGAGGTAACAGGAAAGAGGATCTTCTACAGCTGCACCAGAACTATGAAATTTCTTCCCCTGGAAAATCCATTTGCCCTCTGCCTTCCACTGCCTAATGAAAATGCATTTATTACTAATTTGCTAGATTAAGATTTGTAATGAGCTGATTCCTTGTATTACTTTGGGTCACATTTACATAATCATTACAAATGTTTCATTTTCTGAAATAACATGCAGCATTAATTAAGGTTGAACACAACCATGCTTTCCTAAAGATAACACACTTGTGTGACTTAGGTGCCTGAGTATTCTCACTGTTTTTTCCTGACAGTTAGATTTTGCCAAATTAACTACATTTGTTATACCAGCTAATCTATTTTTCTTTATAAAACTATCTTTTTAGGATTTTTAGTGTTCTCAGGTTGCTTCAAAAGGAAATATCTACAATACAAATACTGGAGGGCATTTTGGTGCTTATGGATGACATCTTGATTTACAAATGTACTCAATTTTAGCAACCGTAATGATCATTTAGTCGCCATAAATAGAAAGAAGATACAGAATTATCCAATGGCCATTGCTGGGTTAATATCTTTATAAAAGGCTGTCATTTTTTGCCAAAAGAATAAATATTTACAGTCACAAAGCCATTGAAGGTTTTGCAGTGCCAGATAGACCCTGGAAGTGAACTGGAACTGTTATTTGGGAGCTTGGAGGTCAACTCATAAATGGACTTTGAACAGGTTCACAAATCAATCAACAGCTAAGAGATCTGTTTTGGCAATGCTGTAACTGCTTGTAGTATCTAGCTACAATTAATAAATCAGCCACATTTCGTACAAGTTGAATTTGCCAAATACTTCAATAGCAGATCCATATACAGGACATATTAGTAATCTAGATGTGATATACCTGTATAACGCATTACTACAGAGAAATAAATTGTTCATTTGTAGATTTAGAGAAAGCATATGATAAAGACAGCAGGGTTGAATTAGGGAATGTTGTATATGAATGTGAAGTTGATTGCTGAAGGCTACACTAGTGGCATATGATGGAAATAAAGCATATTTGAGAACAAACCATGCTTAGGAAATGGTTCAACCTTAAGCAGGAAGTAAGACAAGGATGTATGATGTCTCCTTGATTGCTTAATGTATTTGTGGTTAAATGCATATGGAATATTGTGATCACATTAGAAGTATGTAAATGGCAAAAAACTACAGCAGGTAGATGAATTTGTGTACCTTGCCCAGAATATTTACTAAATATGGGGAAATGCAGGAGAAAATTTAAGACATGCAAAATGTGATGGGTAGTATGTGGCCTCTTGTAACATGAATATTTATCAAGAGAAGCAAAATTGGCTGTGCAGAAGAGCCTGCTTCTGGCCACTTTCTTACTTGAGAGGGGAAGAGTTGGATATGGTATCTCAAGAGAAACATATAAGTACAGTGACTACAGTGGGAATAGAGTACTGGAGAAGTGTGTGTGATAACCAGCCTGCCCACCCTTCCTAGCGCCCACTCATGGCACACACACACACATACTCTGCAGCACCTGCACACCCAGTAACCGGGACTGCTGAGATTGTCCTCGCTAAGTGATGCAGTCACGTGAAGTTGTGCTTTACGACTGCATCATTTAGCAATGGAAATTCCAGTTCTAATTGCCATCATAGCCAAGGAATACCTGTATTTGTTTTCTTATCTCTTTCAATCAGCTTAATTACTTACTTACCAACTGGTTTTGCTATAAATTTGCACTCAAATATAGCAATTTCTGATTGAAACAGAGTAATTCCTGTGACATTCACTGATTCAGTTCTGACTCATATCTTCCTATTTTAACTCAGCTTTGTCCAATAGTGCTAAAGGCACTATTCCTTTAAATTGTATTATATATTTACCTGGTATTTTCTCAAGGTCTTTGCAACAAACAAGATCATGGCTACTTTTAAGCATGTATCACACTGCAGTGCTGTTGTTGTTTTACTTTTTACTTGGTTTATTGGCCAGGAAATATGCTGGAGTGAGAGCAAAAGCAGATTTTTTCAAAATGCCATTGACCTGTCTATGGATTGGTCTGTTAAATTCCCCCCCCCCCCCGCCGCCACTTGGCTAGAAAAAACAAAAGTGGGGGGGGCAAGAAGAAAACATAGACGCTGAGCATTTGATACAAATCTTGGGACCCATTTCTCTCGTTTACCTTCATATCCAGCATAAATCTCTATCGTTTTTTGTGTGTGGACAACGCTGGACTTCTCTAGAAAGACTAACTGGCACAAAGTGGTGTATCTGCATTTTATTATGTCTGGACACACTGAGAGTAGCAGAGCAGGACTGTAGTTGTCAGAGTGAAATTCCCAATTCTTGCAGCTCCAAGCGCCAATTTCCCTTCTTAGAAAATGTGTTCAAATGCAGCTGGGATGTCCTGCAAAGCAACTCTTCCGACTATAGATGGCTTTTGTTGCTGATGTTGTTGTTGGAGAGGGGCAAGAGAAGCAAGTTTTAAAAACAGCCCGTTCATCTCGCCAACCGGTGCCCCTCCCTTTGCCATTCCAAGCCACATCTGGTTTCATTCAGGTCTCTCCTTCCTTCGCCAAACCCAGGCACACCCCCAAGTGCCCTACAACTGTCCAACAAAAAAAAAGGCCAAGGAATGGTGGGGAAATTTGCTAAATTGGTGAGGACTCGGGATCCTACTCCTTTTTTCAAAAAATACAGGGTGTGCTACGATCGCCTTCTTCCACAACCCACACCCATCTCAAAGCACCGCAAGTTTGGAAGGGGGAGGGGGAAGGGGACTTGCTCAAAGAGCATACCTGGAGGAAGAGCGCAGAGTCCGACCTCAATGGTGAAGAGGATGCCCAGGGCGCATCTTAGCAGGCGAGGCCGCGTTGAAGAGGGGGGTCTGGGAAGCTTCATATCGGACGGGGTGAGGGGAAGAGAGCCCGACGAGGCGCTGGGGATCCTCTCTCCTCCTTCTCCTCTCGGGTCCTCCGGCTCCCCGTCGCCGTGCCGTCTGGGCGCAGCAGCCTTCCAACTCCAAGCCCTCCTCCCGTTGGGAAGGTGATGGAAGAAGAAGACGGGGAGATGGGAGAGAAAAGAGAGCCCCCCCAAGCCCCTCCCTGCCTTCTAAGAATTCAGACGCTGCGTCACGAACCCCACAGGCTGCCCAGCCAGTTGTGGGCGGAAGGAAAAAGAGGCCGGGGGGGGGGCGGTGGGAGGAAAGCTTTCTTTAAGACTTCCAAAGTTGAGGCAAACTTTCAGCGGTTTGGCAACCGGGACGACACTAAACGGAATTGCAACACGTTGCAAACGGGGAGGAGGGAGAGGGAGAAAGGCTCGATCCTTTTGAAAACTTTCCTCAGGGAAGAGAACCGTATCTCCTCTCTCCCTTCTTGCTTTCAAAGGAGCGACCACCTCCACGTTAATTTTTACTCCCGCTTGTATTCGAGCATTTTAGGGGTGCGTGATGCAACGCGTACACGTACATGTCATGTCTTGTTATATAGCCTTTTTAAAAAAACGTAAACAAAAATCGTATTGCCGCAGCAGAAAGAGTGTATAAAATGTAGAAGGTTCTGTCTTTACAGTCACTGCCACAAAAAAGTGTCCTACTGCTCCTCAACAACCCTACCGTTATTAAAGCATATATAATAAATACATTTCCCCTTTCCAATATTTTGTATTATCTAATTTTAAAGTAATGAAAATATCAGAATCACCATCAATTCCTCATATTTAACATAATGTTAAATGCAGTCTTTATCATTGTATTTTATAACTGATGATCATTATTTCCCACTAACAGGAATGTGAATAAGATAGACTCGGAAGCCTTTCCAATCATGGAGTGAACTAAAAACCTCATGAGCCTCAGAAAGCATGGCTGTCTTTGGTTTGAAAAGTTTTAGAAGACACCAGGTTGTGCCCCATATCCTAGACTAGGCCTATTTATAAAGTAACGGTCCTTCCTCCAACCCACGCGCAATCAGGTCACACAGAAATCTGACTCACTAAGTGCATTTCTCAGTGTTAGCCAGTTGGAGAAGTAGACTTAGAGACTAAAAGCTCGTGACGTCATGGACACGTCCACACAGTTTTGGCAGCAATAGGAAAGTGATTTACAGTTGCTTTGGAGGAGGGAGTTCAACTTCCCAGCTTAGTGTACAGGACCCCTGGTATTCATAGGTGGTCTCCAAACCAAGAATTAACAAGGTTCAACTCTGCTTAGTTTCCCTTCTTAGCCTAGACAAGGTAAGCCAGGTCCCTAGAATTAAAGAAATAGCAAAAGCAATTGACAATCCCTTTATCACGTATTGATATATGAGTCTTAATCAATGGATTCACAAAAGTTCAGCAATATACATTGTGTGTGTGTGTGTGTGTGTGTGTGTGTATTTGATAAAACATATTCAAGTCACAAGCCACACCTTGAAATAGGATCATTTAGAAACAGGTCAGATGCATCAACATACACAAGAACAATTCCCATGTATGCAGGATAAAAAAAAAAAAACTTCCAGCAAGGGTTAGAAAATTCCCCCCACCCAAACATGTAGCTTTCGACACTGTATTTCTGCATGCAGAGTGGAGATTCTGCACCTGGAGATCTGCTGTTCTTCTGCAGTACAGATTGTGGGGGAAAGAATAAACGAAGTGAGATGGATAGTGGGAAAGGGAGAGTCTTGGCTGACTAAGGGAAGAAGATGTATGCAGATTGTGACTTCCTTTCTCTGCAACCCCACACAACAGCTGTGCCCACAACAGAGAGGCCTACAAAAACTGTACAGAGGGCAGCTATAACTACCAAAATCTCCTGCTATGATAATCTTCCCTTTGTCCTTTAGCCGACCTGTGTAATTCACACACACAATGCTGTACATCCAATTGGTCTGTCCAATTAGCAATGCTTTGTTTCACTTCCTCTCTTATAGATTTTCTTCAGATCCACTCATCATCCTTACCTGTAACTACCTGGAAACATGTGGTTTATTTAGTTGTCATGACCTATTGAAACAACCTGAAGCAGAAAGAGTGAATCTTCTGTCCAACTGGGTGTTGTCTCCAAGAAGGGACAACAGTTTGTTTCTTGGCTGCATCAAGTCTTAGAGAAATGCCTCTGATATTAGTAATACATAGTGTCAGAAACCTGCTGCTAGCTACATAACAGGCTCAGATTTTGCTGACTTACAAGAAAGTCAAGTATTCAAAATCCTGAGAGGCTCAGCAAATATAAAAAATAGCATAGCAGCAGTGAATCTAATTCCTAAAGAAGGGAAAAGGCCTTGTTAAAGGAATTATACTGTGATGACATCAGCAAGCCCAATTCCACATCACAACACGCTCTTGGGCCAACAAAATTCAAGAGAGCACCACCAGAGCAGCCTAACTTCCAGTGCCATGGAATGCATCTTATTGGATTAGGTGCCTGAACTGATTCAGGAAAATCTCCAGCTTATCCACAGAACCTGAAGTTTACCAAATGAGTCATTTAATCTGTTCTATGGGAGATCAAGCAATTGAAATCCTGGTATCGTTTCTTGCCCCCAAAGAACACAGAGCTTCCTAAAGCTAAGTGACAGAAGGCCTTCATATAATGGGGAAGACTCATAAAAATGTGTTTTATGAGTCATGCTGTCCCTGAAACATGTGCTGGTAGCCACTGCAGTTCAGAAAGTAGAAGTGGTAAATGGGCATATTGTAGAGATAACCTTGAAGAAGGAATGCAAGAACAGTTAAATAAATATCAGCCCAATTCTGAGAAAGAGGAGGGGGTGAGAAATAAAATCAAGATTACCCTGCCTTAATTCTCTTTGGAATAAAAGTGGACAGAGGAAAACTTTGTCAGGCTTTCAAGATTCTGTTATTATATCCTAAAAGCAATAGAGTTCCAGTAGTCCTTGTGTTATTTGTTTCCTGGCCTGGTGTACCTTGAATGGCTGACATCGATCTTTCAGCCTCACTGCTTCCTGATTAAAGAGGAATCAAATCTTGCCTTTGATCATGGAGATGGCATCGGATCCCCAGGACACCCCACTGTCTGCAAAACAGCTTGCTGAAGCACTGTTACAACATCAACAGCAAGTGGACATGTAAATAACAAACCTGGATAATGCCAACATACAGCTAATACAGCATTTGGGACAACTGGCATTTCTTTTTTTTATTAGTAATTAAAAAAAGTGTATAGATATAAAGATAAAAAACTAATATAAACTAAGGAAAATATAAACATAAAAAAATAAAATAAAAAATGCAGAGATATTTTTTTTAAAAAAGGAAAAATCAAGAAATAGTAAATAGTAAAAAAAATAAGAAAAAGGAAAAAGAAAAAGAAATGTAAAGAAATTACTTCCCCCTTCATCAAAACAAGTACAAACAATTTCAGAACTTATCATCTTCCAAAAGTTCTCTTCTTCCTATATCTCATCTCTTATCTATAAACAAATTTTGAGCCTCAACATTCAGTCCTAGTCAGCCAAAGTCTATTAAGAGTTATCAACAATAACAACATTTATATTTTAACCTTAATCAAATAAGCTAACTTTGCATTCCTTTCCTTTCCTTTTAACACCATAGCTTATTACTTTCTCTGAAAATAACAGCAAAAAATCCCTTCTTCCCATATCTTATCTCTTATCTATAAACAAATCTTTAAAACCTCATCATTCAGTCCTGATCAAGAAAAACCCAATAACAGCTACTAGAAAGAACATCATATGTATTTTAACCTTGATCAAATAAGTCAACTTTATATTCCTTCCTTTTGCTTTTAAAAATCTTGATGTTTATTCCCTTTAAATAGTGTCCCAGAAGCTGATTTCTTTTCATTTTTCTCTTTGTCTTTTCTCAGGAACTCCTTCATAAGTTTAACATG